AGTAACCTACCCTAAGGAGGTGGTAACCTACCCTAAGGAGGCAGTAACTTACCCTAAGGAGGCAGTAACCTACCCTAAGGAGGTGGTAACCTACCCTAAGGAGGCAGTAACCTACCCTAAGGAGGTGGTAACCTACCCTAAGGAGACAGTAACCTACCCTAAGGAGACAGTAACCTACCCTAAGGAGGCAGTAACCTACCCTAAGGAGGCAGTAACCTACCCTAAGGAGGCAGTAACCTACCCTAAGGAGGCAGTAACCTACCCTAAGGAGGCACTGGTGTTGTCCCGTCTTGAGTACTGCTCAGTACTCACTTCCCCCTTCAGAGCAGGAGAGATTGCTGAAATAGAGGGAATACAGAGAACATATACGGCACGCATAGACGCAATAAAGCACCTAAATTATTGGGATCGTCTCAAAGCCCTCCAAATGTACTCACTAGAAAGAAGACGAGAGAGATATCAAATAATATACACCTGGAAGATACTGGAGGGCCAAGTACCAAATCTACACAGTAAAATAACAACGTACTGGAGTGAACGACATGGAAGAAAATGTAGAATAGAACCAATGAAGAGCAGAGGTGCCATAGGCACAATCAGAGAACACTGTATAAACATCAGAGGTCCGCGGTTGTTCAACGTCCTCCCAGCAAGCATAAGAAATATTGCCGGAACAACCGTGGACATTTTCAAGAGGAAACTAGATTTATTCCTCCAAGGAGTGCCGGACCAACCGGGCTGTGGTGGGTATGTGGGCCTGCGGGCCGCTCCAAGCAACAGCCTGGTGGACCAAACTCTCACAAGTCGAGCCTGGCCTCGGGCCGGGCTTGGGGAGTAGAAGAACTCTCAGAACCCCATCAACCAGGTATCAACCAGGTATCAACCAGGCAGTAACCTACCCTAAGGAGGTGGTAACCTACCCTAAGGAGGCAGTAACCTACCCTAAGGAAGTGGTAACCTACCCTAAGGAGGCAGTAACCTACCCTAAGGAGGTGGTAACCTACCCTAAGGAGGCAGTAACTTACCCTAAGGAGGCAGTAACCTACCCTAAGGAGGTGGTAACCTACCCTAAGGAGGCAGTAACCTACCCTAAGGAGGTGGTAACCTACCCTAAGGAGACAGTAACCTACCCTAAGGAGACAGTAACCTACCCTAAGGATTCAGTAACCTACCCTAAGGAGGCAGTAACCTACCCTAAGGAGGCAGTAACCTACCCTAAGGAGGCAGTAACCTACCCTAAGGAGGCAGTAACCTACCCTAAGGAGGTGGTAACCTACCCTAAGGAGGCAGTAACCTACCCTAAGGAGGTGGTAACCTACCCTAAGGAGGCAGTAACCTACCCTAAGGAGGTGGTAACCTACCCTAAGGAGACAGTAACCTACCCTAAGGAGACAGTAACCTACCCTAAGGAGGCAGTAACCTACCCTAAGGAGGCAGTAACCTACCCTAAGGAGACAGTAACCTACCCTAAGGAGGCAGTAACCTACCCTAAGGAGGCAGTAACCCCTAAGGAGGCTTTAACCTACCCTAAGGAGACAGTAACCTACCCTAAGGAGACAGTAACCTACCCTAAGGAGACAGTAACCTACCCTAAGGAGGCAGTAACCTACCCTAAGGAGGCAGTAACCTACCCTAAGGAGGCAGTAACCTACCCTAAGGAGACAGTAACCTACCCTAAGGAGGCAGTAACCTACCCTAAGGAGACAGTAACCTACCCTAAGGAGACAGTAACCTACCCTAAGGAGGCAGTAACCTACCCTAAGGAGGCAGTAACCTACCCTAAGGAGGCAGTAACCTACCCTAAGGAGGCAGTAACCTACCCTAAGGAGGCAGTAACCTACCCTAAGGAGGCAGTAACCTACCCTAAGGAGACAGTAACCTACCCTAAGGAGGCAGTAACCTACCCTAAGGAGACAGTAACCTACCCTAAGGAGGCAGTAACCTACCCTAAGGAGACAGTAACCTACCCTAAGGAGGCAGTAACCTACCCTAAGGAGGCAGTAACCTACCCTAAGGAGGCAGTAACCTACCCTAAGGAGGCAGTAACCTACCCTAAGGAGGCAGTAACCTACCCTAAGGAGGCAGTAACCTACCCTAAGGAGGCAGTAACCTACCCTAAGGAGACAGTAACCTACCCTAAGGAGGCAGTAACCTACCCTAAGGAGGCAGTAACCTATCCTAAGGAGACAGTAACCTACCCTAAGGAGGCAGTAACCTACCCTAAGGAGGCAGTAACCTACCCTAAGGAGACAGTAACCTACCCTAAGGAGGCAGTAACCTACCCTAAGGAGACAGTAACCTACCCTAAGGAGACAGTAACCTACCCTAAGGAGGCAGTAACCTACCCTAAGGAGGCAGTAACCTACCCTAAGGAGACAGTAACCTACCCTAAGGAGGCAGTAACCTACCCTAAGGAGGCAGTAACCTACCCTAAGGAGGCAGTAACCTACCCTAAGGAGACAGTAACCTACCCTAAGGAGGCAGTAACCTACCCTAAGGAGGTGGTAACCTACCCTAAGGAGGCAGTAACCTACCCTAAGGAGGCAGTAACCTACCCTAAGGAGACAGTAACCTACCCTAAGGAGGCAGTAACCTACCCTAAGGAGACAGTAACCTACCCTAAGGAGGCAGTAACCTACCCTAAGGAGGCAGTAACCTACCCTAAGGAGACAGTAACCTACCCTAAGGTGGCAGTAACCTACCCTAAGGAGGCAGTAACCTACCCTAAGGAGACAGTAACCTACCCTAAGGAGACAGTAACCTACCCTAAGGAGACAGTAACCTACCCTAAGGAGACAGTAACCTACCCTAAGGAGACAGTAACCTACCCTAAGGAGGCAGTAACCTACCCTAAGGTGGCAGTAACCTACCCTAAGGAGGCAGTAACCTACCCTAAGGAGACAGTAACCTACCCTAAGGAGACAGTAACCTACCCTAAGGAGACAGTAACCTACCCTAAGGAGACAGTAACCTACCCTAAGGAGACAGTAACCTACCCTAAGGAGACAGTAACCTACCCTAAGGAGACAGTAACCTACCCTAAGGAGGTGGTAACCTACCCTAAGGAGGCAGTAACCTACCCTAAGGAGGCAGTAACCTACCCTAAGGAGACAGTAACCTACCCTAAGGAGGCAGTAACCTACCCTAAGGAGACAGTAACCTACCCTAAGGAGGTGGTAACCTACCCTAAGGAGGCAGTAACCTACCCTAAGGAGGCAGTAACCTACCCTAAGGAGGCAGTAACCTACCCTAAGGAGACAGTAACCTACCCTAAGGAGGCAGTAACCTACCCTAAGGAGACAGTAACCTACCCTAAGGAGGCAGTAACCTACCCTAAGGAGGCAGTAACCTACCCTAAGGAGGCAGTAACCTACCCTAAGGAGGCAGTAACCTACCCTAAGGAGGCAGTAAAGCAGATGCAGAAAATTATAGAGCAATAGCTCTTAACTTCACACATAATAATCTTTGAGAGAGTGCCAAGAAGTATGATTATGAATCATATGGAATCTCAACATGTACTCTTTCAATGGGCCACAAATAATAATACGTGGTTTGATGAAAATAAGTTCCAGCTCCTGCGCCATGGAAAACAAATTACAATGTAAAAACTGCAGCAATGGGAACATTGCTGCAGTCTTGCAGCAATGCAGCAAACATTAACTGTTTTGCAAACAGTTAATGTTTTCTATGGACAGTACGAAGTATCTTTTGTCAGCCTATTGGGAGTTACCTGTGTTGATGGGTGCAGGGTTATCACCTCTACCCTCCCTTCAAAGAGCCAAAGAGCTCTGGCTCATTGGTCCCGCCTCTCAACCGTCAATCAACTGGTGTACAGGTTCCTGAGCCTACTGGGCTCTATCATATCTACATTTGAAACTGTGTATGGAGTCAGCCTCCACCACATTACTGCCTAATGCATTCCACCTGTTAACTACTCTGACACTGAAAAAGTTCCTTCTAACGTCTCTGTGGCTCATGTGGGTACCAAGTTTCCACCCGTGTCCCCTTGTTCGCGTACCACCAATGATACATAGGTGATCTTTATTCTACCCGGGAGCCGGTCGGCCGAGCGGACAGCACGCTGGACTTGTGATCCTGTGGTCCTGGGTTCGATCCCAGGCGCCGGCGAGAAACAATGGGCAGAGTTTCTTTCACCCTATGCCCCTGTTACCTAGCAGTAAAATAGGTACCTGGGTGTTAGTCAGCTGTCACGGGCTGCTTCCTGGGGGTGGAGGCCTGGTCGAGGACCGGGCCGCGGGGATACTAAAAAGCCTCGAAATCATCTCAAGATAACCTCAAGATACCCTGACAATTTCTCTGAGCATTTTATAGGTGGTGATCATGTCTCCCCTAACTCCTGTGGTTGGTGTTGGAGCAGGTATGGTAGTGATCGCCGGCTTGCTCAAGCATCTTGCTCTCAACTGTGCTGGTTCATCACAAAACACACCAGTCACGGAATTTCTACAAAATAACGGTGTTTTACACAGCTGTACTAGACCCAGCACGCGACTCTTGACGGCCAGCATAAGTAACTTGGCCCATGAGCTGACCAGTCAAGGCGTTTTGTCGGGGGCCAAGGACTGCCACGCTAATTACACATAACAACCATAAGTGTTATAGTTGTTATGTAAGTAGAAAGTGTGCAACAGTCTTCTCAAGTGTCCTTAAGAGTTGTGGGCTCCAGCAACATATTTAACAGTAAGTGTGAAAGTGTGGCAGCGTCACACTTGACCATCCTCGTCGCGTGTTCGAAACGCTTTGCGTAATAGTGGCTTTAGGCATTGTATGTACTAGCTCTATCTATAAATCCATCAACGGTTTGTATCTCACCTTGTATGTATGTACTTTACCCGAATAAATATTTGAATTTTTGAATTTTGAATTTGAATTTGGCGGTGGTGTGAAGCGTGGGAGACTTCTCGCTGGCGCCGGCGTCACTCTTCCTCCCCCCACCACTCTCTAAACTCCCCCCCCCCCAGGCCCATACACCGTCTGAGTCTTCACGAAGTGTATTCTAGCACAGCTGAGAGTTGTTGCTGTGTCACACTAGAGGCTCCTGGGTGTTCCTGTGTCACACTGGAGGCTCCTGGGTGTTGCTGTGTCACACTAGAGGCTCCTGGGTGTTGCTGTGTCACACTGGAGGCTCCTGGGTGTTGCTGTGTCACACTGGAGGCTCCTGGGTGTTGCTGTGTCACACTGGAGGCTCCTGGGTGTTGCTGTGTCACACTGGAGGCTCCTGGGTGTTGCTGTGTCACACTGGAGGCTCCTGGGTGTTGCTGTGTCACACTGGAGGCTCCTGGGTGTTGCTGTGTCACACTGGAGGCTCCTGGGTGTTGCTGTGTCACACTGGAGGCTCCTGGGTGTTGCTGTGTCACACTGGAGGCTCCTGGGTGTTGCTGTGTCACACTGGAGGCTCCTGGGTGTTGCTGTGTCACACTAGAGGCTCCTGGGTGTTGCTGTGTCACACTAGAGGCTCCTGGGTGTTGCTGTGTCACACTGGAGGCTCCTGGGTGTTGCTGTGTCACAGTGGAGGCTCCTGGGTGTTGCTGTGTCACACTGGAGGCTCCTGGGTGTTGCTGTGTCACACTGGAGGCTCCTGGGTGTTGCTGTGTCACACTGGAGGCTCCTGGGTGTTGCTGTGTCACACTGGAGGCTCCTGGGTGTTGCTGTGTCACACTGGAGGCTCCTGGGTGTTGCTGTGTCACACTAGAGGCTCCTGGGTGTTGCTGTGTCACAGGAACACCTACAGTGTTCTACTACACTGTACTGGAAGTCCTCATAACCTACAGTGTAGAAACATCGTGTCATTACCACTAACAATCTTCAAATAATATATATACTTCGAAACGAAGAGGCATTTTGTATTTAACTTGGTAGGCACTTCACACGTCCCTACAGATAGCCTGGTAGCCTGGTGGATAGCGCGCAGGACTCGTAATTCTGTGGCGCGGGTTCGATTCCCGCACCAGGCAGAAACAAATGGACAAAGTTTCTTTCACCCTGAATGCCCCTGTTACCTAGCAGTAAATAGGTACCTGGGAGTTAGTCAGCTGTCACGGGCTGCTTCCTGGGGGTCGAGGCCTGGTCGAGGACCGGGCCTTGGGGACACTAAAGCCCCGAAATCATCTCAAGATAACCTCAAGCAAAGCTCAACCCCCGCAAACACAACTAGGTGAATACAGGTGTGTCTTGGGTTTGTAGTTGTGAACGAGGAGCAGGTGTTGTGTTGTAGTTGTTAATTGTGTATTAACTACTATACTCTATTAACTTAATTAACTATTAATACTATAGTCAAGATGGTCATTTTATCTTATTTGCTAACCATTCAATCACTGTATCTTTGTCAATCATTTGCCTCTGACCGTAATCATCAAGCTTGGAAAACTGTCCACCACTCTAATGACAGTTACGTCTTGAGTGGGTAATACTGTGGTCGGGAATCGAACCCGGGCCCTTAGGACTACGACCTCCCGAGCGCTGTCCACTCAGCCGCGTGGCCCTGTGTGTGTACTCACTTCACCTAATTGTGTTTGCGGGGGTTGAGCTCTGGCTCTTTGGTTCCGCCTCTCAACCGTCAATCAACTGGTGTACAGGTTCCTGAGCCTATTGGGCTCTATCATATCTACACTTGAAACTGTGTATGGAGTCAGTCTCCACCACATCACTGCCTAATGCATTCCATTTGTCAACCACTCTGACACTAAAAAGTTCTTTCTAATATCTCTGTGGCTCATTTGGGCACTCAGTTTCCACCTGTGTCCCCTAGTGCGTGTGCCCCTTGTGTTAAATAGCCTGTCTTTATCTACCCTGTCGATTCCCTTCAGAAAATGTGTGTGTGTGTGTGTGTGTGTGTGTGTGTGTGTGTGTGTGTGTGTGTGTGTGTGTGTGTGTGTGTGTGTGTGTGTGTGTGTGTGTGTGTGTGTGTGTGTGTGTGTGTGTGTGTGTGTGTGTGTGTGTGTGTGTGTGTGTGTGTGTACTCACCTACATGTGCTTGCAGGGTGGAGCCAGGCTCCTAGCCCGGCCTCAGGGCTCGGCTCCTAGCCCGGCCTCAGGGCTCGGCTCCTAGCCAGCACCTTCTCACGGTTTTATCATATTTACATTTTAACATTTGAATCACATTGCCTTGAACTGCTTCAGCATCTAACCTGTCCCACTTATTGACAGCTCCGACAATGATTAAGTTCTTCCTAATATCTCTATCACTCACTTGCCTCTTTTTCTACATTGTTAATTTACCCTCTAATCTTACTAATCTTAATGGGAAGCCGGTCGGCCGAGCAGACAGCACGCTGGACTTGTGATCCTGTGGTCCCGGGTTCAATCCCAGGCGCCGGCGAGAAACAATGGCCAGAGTTTCTTTCACCCTATGCCCCTGTTACCTAGCAGTAAAATAGGTATCTGGGAGTTAGTCAGCTGTCACGGGCTGCGTCCTGGGGGTGGAGGCCTGGTCGAGGACCGAGCCGCGGGGACACTAAAGCCCCGAAATGATCTAAAAATGTTATTATTTCTCTCTCTCTCCTCCAGTGTGGTAAAGTCCAGTTAAGTCTGACCTTATAACTCAATTCCCTCAGCTCCGGAACGAGTCTCTTTGCGTGTCTTCGGAACGTTTCTAATTTATCTTTGTTCTTTTTTCAGGTAAGTGTTCCATGCTGGGACTGCATATTGAAGAGTGGGTCTGACCTTCACTGTATATAGAGCCAGGTAAGTCCCCTACGGGCTGTTGACCAGACCACACACTAGAAGGTGAAGGGACGACGACGTTTCGGTCCGTCCTGGACCATTCTCAAGTCGATTCTTGTAAGTGCCCTACGGGCTCACCATAGCCCGTGCTACTTGCAACTTTTGTTCCCAGTAGCTGACTCTAAAGCATCATCATCCTCCTCTATCCAAGATAGTGACGGATACACGGATGGTGGTAAGTGTGCTACACAGCTGCTGTTATACACAGAAATCACAATTGCGTGATGCATCAAATGAACAAATCCACAATGGCCGTGACGAGGATTCGAACCTGCGTCCTATTAAGGCAGCGTCTGGGATGCTCTCGGACGCAGGTTCGAATCGTCGTCACGGCCCTTGTGGATTTGTTCGACTGTTGTTATTCTGCTAATGTGACCCACACTCTGATACTCTGGCATCAGATGTGTGGTTAGGTCCAGTTTAGGGAGTGGTTGTATGTTGTAGAGTAGGGTGCTGGTGGTCCCCAGGTGTTGTAGAGTAGGGTGCTGGTGGTCCCCAGGTGTTGTAGAGTAGGGTGGTGGTGGTTCCCAGGTGTTGTAGAGTAGGGTGCTGGTGGTGGTCCCCAGGTGTTGTAGAGCAGGGTGCTGGTGGTCCCCAGGTGTTGTAGAGTAGGGTGGTGGTGGTCCCCAGGTGTTGTAGAGTAGGGTGCTGGTGGTGGTCCCCAGGTGTTGTAGAGCAGGGTGCTGGTGGTCCCCAGGTGTTGTAGAGTAGGGTGGTGGTGGTTCCCAGGTGTTGTAGAGTAGGGTGCTGGTGGTGGTCCCCAGGTGTTGTAGAGCAGGGTGCTGGTGGTCCCCAGGTGTTGTAGAGCAGGGTGCTGGTGGTCCCCAGGTGTTGTAGAGTAGGGTGGTGGTGGTGGTCCCCAGGTGTTGTAGAGTAGGGTGCTGGTGGTGGTCCCCAGGTGTTGTAGAGCAGGGTGCTGGTGGTCCCCAGGTGTTGTAGAGTAGGGTGCTGGTGGTGGTCCCCAGGTGTTGTAGAGCAGGGTGCTGGTGGTCCCCAGGTGTTGTAGAGTAGGGTGGTGGTGGTTCCCAGGTGTTGTAGAGTAGGGTGCTGGTGGTGGTCCCCAGGTGTTGTAGAGTAGGGTGCTGGTGGTGGTCCCCAGGTGTTGTAGAGCAGGGTGCTGGTGGTCCCCAGGTGTTGTAGAGTAGGGTGGTGGTGGTTCCCAGGTGTTGTAGAGTAGGGTGCTGGTGGTGGTCCCCAGGTGTTGTAGAGTAGGGTGCTGGTGGTGGTCCCCAGGTGTTGTAGAGTAGGGTAGTGGTGGTGGTCCCCAGGTGTTGTAGAGCAGGGTGCTGGTGGTCCCCAGGTGTTGTAGAGTAGGGTGGTGGTGGTGGTCCCAGGTGTTGTAGAGTAGGGTGCTGGTGGTGGTCCCCAGGTGTTGTAGAGCAGGGTGCTGGTGGTGGTCCCCAGGTGTTGTAGAGCAGGGTGCTGGTGGTGGTCCCAGGTGTTGTAGAGTAGGGTGCTGGTGGTGGTCCCCAGGTGTTGTAGAGTAGGGTGCTGGTGGTGGTCCCCAGGTGTTGTAGAGTAGGGTGCTGGTGGTCCCCAGGTGTTGTAGAGCAGGGTGCTGGTGGTCCCCAGGTGTTGTAGAGTAGGGTGGTGGTGGTGGTCCCCAGGTGTTGTAGAGTAGGGTGCTGGTGGTGGTCCCCAGGTGTTGTAGAGTAGGGTGCTGGTGGTCCCCAGGTGTTGTAGAGCAGGGTGCTGGTGGTCCCCAGGTGTTGTAGAGTAGGGTGGTGGTGGTGGTCCCCAGGTGTTGTAGAGTAGGGTGCTGGTGGTGGTCCCCAGGTGTTGTAGAGCAGGGTGCTGGTGGTGGTCCCCAGGTGTTGTAGAGTAGGGTGCTGGTGGTGGTCCCCAGGTGTTGTAGAGTAGGGTGCTGGTGGTGGTCCCCAGGTGTTGTAGAGTAGGGTGCTGGTGGTGGTCCCCAGGTGTTGTAGAGCAGGGTGCTGGTGGTGGTCCCCAGGTGTTGTAGAGTAGGGTGCTGGTGGTCCCCAGGTGTTGTAGAGTAGGGTGCTGGTGGTGGTCCCCAGGTGTTGTAGAGTAGGGTGCTGGTGGTGGTCCCCAGGTGTTGTAGAGCAGGGTGCTGGTGGTGGTCCCCAGGTGTTGTAGAGCAGGGTGCTGGTGGTGGTCCCCAGGTGTTGTAGAGTAGGGTGCTGGTGGTGGTCCCCAGGTGTTGTAGAGTAGGGTGCTGGTGGTGGTCCCCAGGTGTTGTAGAGTAGGGTGCTGGTGGTCCCCAGGTGTTGTAGAGCAGGGTGCTGGTGGTGGTCCCCAGGTGTTGTAGAGTAGGGTGGTGGTGGTGGTCCCAGGTGTTGTAGAGTAGGGTGCTGGTGGTGGTCCCCAGGTGTTGTAGAGTAGGGTGCTGGTGGTCCCCAGGTGTTGTAGAGCAGGGTGCTGGTGGTCCCCAGGTGTTGTAGAGCAGGGTGGTGGTGGTCCCCAGGTGTTGTAGAGCAGGGTGCTGGTGGTGGTCCCCAGGTGTTGTAGAGGAGGGTGCTGGTGGTGGTCCCCAGGTGTTGTAGAGCAGGGTGCTGGTGGTGGTCCCCAGGTGTTGTAGAGCAGGGTGCTGGTGGTGGTCCCCAGGTGTTGTAGAGCAGGGTGCTGGTGGTCCCCAGGTGTTGTAGAGTAGGGTGCTGGTGGTCCCCAGGTGTTGTAGAGTAGGGTGGTGGTGGTCCCCAAGTGTTGTAGAGCAGGGTGGGTGGTGGTGTTGTAGAGCCCCCCAGGTGTTGTAGAGCAGGGTGCTGGTGGTGGTCCCCAGGTGTTGTAGAGCAGGGTGCTGGTGGTGGTCCCCAGGTGTTGTAGAGGAGGAGGGTGGTGGTCCCCAGGTGTTGTAGAGTAGGGTGCTGGTGGTGGTCCCCAGGTGTTGTAGAGTAGGGTGCTGGTGGTGGTCCCCAGGTGTTGTAGAGTAGGGTGCTGGTGGTCCCCAGGTGTTGTAGAGTAGGGTGCTGGTGGTGGTCCCCAGGTGTTGTAGAGTAGGGTGCTGGTGGTGGTCCCCAGGTGTTGT